TCAGAATCAAAAGAGATTTTGACACTTGCTTTACAGAAAATGCATGGAATATTTCAAAACCTTTTCTACATAGCAACAAAAACAGCTAAAAGGAACAAAAAAGTATCATGATTCTATCTTATACAAACTGGGTCATGTATTTTCAAGTCAGGTAGTTTCTACGCAACGACTTGTCCTGTTACTGATCGTGATGAAAATGTTCATTTTAAATCGGCATACTAATGTAAGCTGATGAGTTTGACAGCTACGCCAGCTGACCTGCTTAAGAAGACCTGCTTTCTCAGGCTCCTTGGTAGGATGTATTGATTACAAAGCCTGGAAATCATAATTCCTATCTAAGTAGTGATCTCTCCCTGGGTGCTCACTGATTAATTTATGACCGTGTTTACCTGGGCATGCATGTTTGGGCAGATTAGCCTTTGCACGCAGCATTGCTGAGGGGACATTGACAGCTACTGGGTTGTTGCATCCCTGAACTTTAATGGTACCACAACAAAAGTTCCACACAGAAGTCCTACTCAGTCACATCTCTACCTTTTCAAGGTATCACATTTACTTTGCATTTTTCTCAAATCAGAAACTGTTCTTATGCAGGAAAACTTAAGCTTCTTACTTTTTTGTTTGTTTAGAATAAATAATGTTAAAAGATTAAAAAGTTGGTTGGATGAATTGTGCAAATAGTCAATAAATGCAAAGAATCACTGCAGGCATATTTACTATATATGTTTAGTTAATCTTCACAGGCTTCTTAGAAGAGGTCTACTTTGAGTCAATGACTGCCTAAAGAAGCCGAGTTATGAAATGACTTGGTGTAGGTATCTTTTTTTGTAGGTTTCTTAAGTATTTTCTCTTAAGTATTGTCTCATGTTAGTTATGGCCAAGAAGTTTAATCAGTAAATTGATGTTTGTGAATGTGCAGATTTGGAGGATTTTGTGTAGGGAGATTACATTGTTTCTGCATTTACAATTTGTGATGAGTACGCATAACAAACAAGGGGGTAAGAAAATCATCTCCAATCCCATTGAAATGAACAGCAAATTCTCCGTGAGGTCAGTATTTTGCTCTAAGAAATGTTTTCCAAGTCTGTGAGGTGTGATTAGGTGATTACATTGTTAGGAGCTGCACTGGTAGCAGCTGAGATAGCATAAAATGACTTGAAGTCACTTGAAGGAACAAGGACTAAAAGCAATCCCCATATTGGCAGAGTTTGTGGCAAACAAAGAAGTAATTCTTGGTACAAGGTATATATTTCTGATCATACAAACGTGTTCCAGGAAATGTTTTGTTATAACCACACAATAGGAAGTTGCATCTCTTCCTACTTTGCCATTTTTGACAAACCTGTTGATATTCCCAGGAGGGAACATCTTTTTTCCGCAAGCTCTGCTAACAGCGTTCTGCAGGAAATCTCCTTACTGCTTTCGGTAGCATTTAAGAGGAAGACTTTTTTGGTTTCTCTGGTTTTAATTTGTAGTATGTTTTACTATTGAATTAAATATACCTGGCCAAGGAACGCTTCTGTGGTACTTAAGATCCCTTAATTCGTTAGGGCTGTGCTCTGCCTTACAGGGGTGGCAAAAACTCTCTACTAACTCAGAACTGAGTGGGGGAAAAAAAAAAACAACAAACAACTTTGGTGGAGTCAGTTGGAGTGGGAGTGGAGTGGGAGATTTGACCTGTAGAGAGGTGGATTCAGTCAGCGATTGCTAAAACCTCCATAATTTCCTAGGATTGCCTTTGTTTGTAGGGTAAATCCTGCAGTCCCTGCGGGTTCCTCACATGAAGCATACTTGTTTGCAGTTCACATGGGGAGGATTCAAATTCACCCCATGCTAAATGCTTAACAGAGAGATTGTTGTTTCCACAGGCTGTGTGCTCTTCCCTTCTCTCTGTCCCCTCTACCTTCTCCCTGCCAAAAGAAAATCACCAACTGTGTGTACGTAATGGTTTCAGCTTTAAAAAAGTGATTGGATTCTCACGTAACTTTTCTTGCTTGCTCCACTGTTCCCAAGTGACATGATGTGTGGCCATTCCTTGTCTGTTTCTCATATCCCTTTTTGAGATTTGAACTGCACTCTGCATAACTTTTATAGACCCAAACCCACATGGTTTTGATTTGGCAGAGAATGGCAGATTGCTCCATATTAGAAGGGATGTGGATGCTCGTTTTTGACTTTTGTTTGGTGTTTCTCAACTACGTCTCCTGTTGTTTCCATACTGAATTTGGTTATAAACTCCAAAGTATCCTACACATTTTGGTACATTGATCCTTGAGCTGGAGCTGCCCTGTTGGTGTTTCCATCCTCTCTTTATCTGATTTGGGTGAAGTAAGATTTTGGGGGTCTTTCATGCAAGCTTGTACTTACTGTGATGCATTAATCAGTCAGGGAGAAAACGGAGCCTTGCAGGTCCCGTTGGAATTGCAGCAAGCTCTCCTTTACTGATAGCACAGATGGGCCAAACAGTAGGTACATGTACCTCTAGGAGCTTTAGGGTTTCTTCACATTATTACAGCGGTACAAAGATGAGTAATGAGTATTTACTGCTGGCTAGCTACAAGTAAGATTGAGTAGGAATCTTCATCTTTAAATTACAAAGTTTTTAATTGCTCATATCTATGAAATAAGTGTTCTTCTCCCCTGTCCCCCCGCCTCCAGCAAATCCTCTTATACTAGTCCCTACGCTAACCTTTTAAGGAGAACTTAGGCAGACTTCAGCCATTTTACAGTTATACAAAGCATAAATAAAAATGCTTTGTCTTCTGGATTACCTGATAGAATAGCTGACTCTGAAAAGTCCAAATATCACTTGTTTTGTGGTTCTAATTTGGAAAAGAAAAAGAAAAATTAACAAAAAGTAAACTAGATGTTTGCAGCTTCAGAGTACGCTGAAGCAATCCATTCTCTGCGTAGCTATCAGAATTTTCTTTCAGTTTCTCCTTCTGCCTTAACCCTTTCCCAGGGTTAAAACAAGGCAGGAAGAAGTGGTTTTGAACACCAGAACCTTTCCTAAAACATTGTGTTTCATTAAAAAATAGTAATAAAGTAACTCTCCAGCTGCTGTGGTTATAAGGCAGTCTTGAAAATACGAACTACGTGTAACCTAGGCAGAGAGGTCTCCTTAAGTTTTCACAGAGACGGGAATAATGGCTGTGAGAGATGTGAGGCTCATCTCATCAGCGTTTTATCTTGTGTAGCCTCAATTTTGCACATGAACTTTCTCTGCTCCTCCTGCAGGCAGGCAAGGCGTGAGGCAGTGTATCTATCACCTGAAGATCCGATCATTTTACTCTTAGTGACAAGACATGTAGGTACTCTGGGAAAGAAACCCTGCCTGTTTCTTTTTTTTCCTCCAATTATAGCAAAATAAATTCTGAGGGACCTGATGGTCATATCTGCCCAGAAGGGCACCGGTCCTGGAGCCAGGCCAGGGCTGCACAGCAGACGTACCTGACAGGCTGTCAGATGGCTCTTCTGTCCGGAAAAGTGGTAAGCACCAGTAGTTTAGGACAAGAGTGAAAGAAACTCACAGCAGCCTTATAAAATATTTAATATAATCCAAAATACTGGTTTACCGAAATCCTGAAGCACAGCTTTTTGTCCTCCTTCTGGTACGCTTCAAAATCGAGTTTTTTTCATGCATAAAGTGTCTCACTGTTTTGTTTGGGCAATCACCCAATCCAAATTCAATCCAGCGAGATTGTGGGCCATTTTTTGCGGCAACGGGTTTCGAAATCCGTGTGTTTTATAGGGCATATGGGGCCCGAGACGGAGGGCGGAAGGGAGGCAGAGAGAGGCGTACAGGCACGATTCACCTCCCTCCCCACGTGCACTCTCAGTGAGCTGCACCCAGCTCGACTCACTGCTGCTGCTGCTGCAGCCCTTTTATTTCTGCCACTTCCCCTGCGTACAGGATGCGGCCACTGCCTCTGGCATCACAGCCCAGTGGCTTGGGCTATCTGCTCGGGCTATCTGTCCCTGCTTTGCTCTGCCCATCTCTGGGTGTGGAGCACGGGCAGGCACCGCACCCACTCTTTCCCTGCCCTTTAGTCCAGGTTGATCTTATCAGAGAAGTTAAATTTAGCAGCAGTGTGTTAAGGCTGCCTGCTTCCAGGGCCTCTCGTGGTGTACGATCCAGGTTTCAGGATTTCTCTAAAAGCCAAACCCCGAGCTATGTGAGGTGCATGGTTATGTGTTACGGATGCAGAGTCCCAGACAATTTCATTTACTTCAGGGGGAGCTGCAAATGCAGTCTGCTAAACACAGCCAAGACTTGTTGTAAAATGAAGGCTGGGAAAGTAAGTACTTGAAAACCAGGAAACTCCCAAAGCTAACGTTTCTGCCACAACATCCAGTTGGGTTCGCTGCACATTCGCTACGTTTTATTATTATTTAATCTATATCCTGTGAGGTGTGTAGGATGTGTAACGAAGCCAAAACGATATTGCTTTGGAAAAGCCCGTCTTCGTAATTTCCTGGCTTTTGAATATTCGATTCTTTCAGCCTCGGTAATGCATTAATGCTGTTTTATGTGTTTAATATATAATTGGCCTGAATCTTTTCCTTCTTTTCAACTGTTGATACCATGATTGATTTCTGGGGGTGAAATGAGCGAAGCTTTCTCTTTGGCCTGGTGTTCCAGAAGGAGGTGTGCGTGTGTGTGTGTGTGTGTGTGTGTGTGTTTGTGTGCGCGCTTTCCCTTACACCCATGCTATGTTCCTGCTGAAGGGTGCTTGGTGTAGGTGGGCGCTGGGCTATCAGCTGAGCGAGACTTGTCAGACTCTGGAGGCCAGTGTTACTTCTCCTTCCTTTCCAAACCGACTGCAGATACTGGAGGGTGTAAAGCTTTTTTTGGTGTGTTTGCGCTTACTCCGGCACCTCCCCGAGCTGCTGCAGCCCGGCCAAGTCACCGCGGGTCAACCCCGAGTTTATGACCTTTAGCAAGAAAACCCCTCACTTCTCCACCACATATAAAAAAGGGCCGCGAGCGGGACACACTGTCCGGCTGGGGCGATGCTGCCAGCCTGTCGCGACACTCCTGTCGCCGACAGCGCAGCGGGCAGCGGCTGCCCGGGGCCGGCTGGGCGCCCCCCCGGCTGCTCCGGGGCCCGGCGGCGGAGCAGCCCCGGGCCCTGAGGCTCAGGTGCCGCCGCGGCCGGGCCCTTCCTGGCCGCCAGAAGGTGCCGGAGCCGCCGCAACAGGAACTGCGAGCCGGGGGGAGGAGGCGGCGCCGCCGCTCCCCGCCGCAGTCGCGGCCCGAGCCGGGGGAGCGCAGCGCAGCGCAGGGGAGCAGCCATGGGCCGCCGCCCGCCGCCGCGCTGAGCCGCCCCCGGGGCCCAAGGGGGGAGCGGGGCCGGCGCTGCCCTCCCGCCCGTCCCTCCCCGCCTCCCTCCGTGCCGGCCGGGGCCCGCGATGCAGCCATGGACAGCAGGATCAAGTGAGTGGGGGGCGCCCGCAACGAGGCCTCGGGGCCTGCCGGGCCCGCCCGGCGCGGCGGGGGAGGAGAGGAGGGGAAGGGAAGGGAAAGAAGGGAGGGAGCGAGGGAGGCGGCGGGGCGCCCACCGGCCGCTGAGTGACAGCCGGGCACGGGGGCGACCGGCGGCAGGGGAGGGCAGGGAGGGGCGGGGGGGAGCCCCTTGGCCGCTGCTCGCCAGCCCCCGGGGACCAGAGGGGGGCAGCGCCCCTGGGCTCGGCCGTGAAATGGTGGCGGGGCCGGGGGCCGGGGGCTGGGCTGCGGGGCCGCTCCGCCGCCTGCCCCTGCGGCAGGTGCAGCCAGGGGGGACCTGGCTGCGGGGTGGGCAGGGACAGGGCTGGTGCCGAGCAGCCCTCCGGGGGCTCTGACACTGCTGCGTGTGGGGAGGGAGCCTGGGAGGGGTCTTCTGGAAGAGCAGGTGTAGGGGGGGGTGGTGAGGGATTCCCCCACCCAGCGTGCCCGGTGGTTGTGGAGCGGGGAGCCCTGGCTGGGTGTTTGGCACAGGGGGGCTGGTTCGTCTTAAAAACAACCCAGGGGACACGTGGAGGGGTGAAACAAGCTCAGCTTGGGCAAGGTCACAGGGAAGTGGCACTTGGTGTGAAGGAAGGACCTCGGCGGGCCAAGTGAAGCTGAGCCTCTCCTGTGTCACTCTGAACCTGCTTCCAGCTGCAGGAGCGAGGCACTGACCTGAGCCCCAGCCTCACCTCCAGCCCCCAGGCTTGTAACCGAGCAGGGCTGGATTGCCTGTGCGCAGGGTCTGTGGGTCCTGCATTTTTCTCCAGCTAAATGCTTGAAATTATAATGCAAGGGAAGATTGTGATATGGGAGGGCTATGTCTCGATAACCTGAATTAGACTGTAATTGCATATGTCAGGCGATGATGGTGCTGAGGTCACTGAAAGCACGAACTGAATCAATTAATTTGTGACAGCTGAAATTTTCCCCAGCTCAGCCTTTGGATTTCATTCAGAGCTGCCTTTAAAGAAATGACGGAGCATTAACTTGCTGCACCCTTTGTCTGAAGCGTTCTAGAAACTTGGAACCAAGTCCGGGTTTTTTTTTTTAATCTACCTAAAACTCCAGGAGGAGCATTACCTGAAGAAAGAAGTTCAAGTGCCAGCCTTTTATGTGGTTAAATAGATAATTGATATGGGTGCGGTTATACCGCTTGTTTTTAATATAAATAGCAGCGTGCTTGGTAGCCAGAGAGAGCTGGATGGTAGAGCAGTGGCAACTCGAACTATTTTAATAACAATGCAGTTTTGGATTAGGACGAGCACTACCTGCTTTAGCATGTGCCCTCCGTTACCATCAGGTGTGCCTTTACCAAAAGGACGCAGCACTGCCCGGGGTGGCTGTTAAAAGTGGGGGCCCCATCTCCCCACACCCTCTGGCTGGCTGGGTCGGGAACGTGCCCGTCCCCAGGCGCTGCCGCAGTGTTTTCTCACTCGTGGAATCGTGCCTGAGATTCAGCCTGTAACACTGACGATCAATATCTTGTGACAGAGGAAGCTCGGTGATCTGCGGCCTTGTGGTGGTGATCAGGCACATCCAAAGGACAGTGGCAAAAGCATAGCATTAAAATGGAAGTTCAATGATAAACTATTCCTCTTAAGTAGAAACGAGAGGTAACCTTAGAAAAGGCTGCCTGGGATTCCCTTTAGTGTGTTTCAAATTGATCATTTGATAAAGGTTTTAGTAGTACTTTTTTTTTTCCAACTGTTAAACGTGGTAGAGCCACTGAAAAGCTGTTTTGATGCAATGACAGTATCAAACAACCTAAATTATGTGATTTATTTATCTTCCTTGTTCTTTTTTTAACACTGTACAGGAAAATGTGACTTAGTTCCGTGGAGGTACCAATCTGATTTCTAATTTTATTTTAATGAAATTTTAATTTATTTTAATTTATTCTGTACAAACAGAACAGAAGAGGTGTAACACTGTAGAAAATGATTTACGCTGTCTGAAACATCTGTAAGATTAATCAATTGTGTTTGTTTCTCTTAGGGAAAATCCAGAACGTACCTTTGATTTGGTACTGAAGGTAAAATGTCAAGCATCCAAAAATGAAGGTAATGTACTGTGCTTACTGGTATTTATAGAAATAAGAAATGGAAAAAAAAACCACCTTGTTTGTATCCTGCTCTAGTTTTGTCTAATGTTATGAACTGCTTTCAGATTGGGATTGTATTAGAAAATGACTGTGGTTACTGTATTGCCTTTTAAAACCTATTAATGTGTTAATTCATAGCTGTCATGCTTTTTCTATTGTTATGATTTCCTTTTGGTTGTTGTAAAAATATTTTTGCTCTAGAAACTTGCAAAGCTTGGACTTGAAGCGTAGCTTCCACAGATCCTAAGAAAACGTTGATTTTTGTATAAGATTTCTTTTAGCAGAGCAATTGGCTTCTGCGTATCAGTGGACTATTCGTTTCAATTAGTGTCACAGGGAAGAAGAAAGTTCTTTTCCAAACAGCAAAAATAAACATTATTTCTAGCTTGTGTTTGGCAGATGCTTTGGTGTGGTACATGACACAAACAGCGATGAGTTCTGACTTGCACTTGTGTTAGCTCTTGGTTTCACAGCTCTACAAGCATGTGGTAAAGAGATCTAGTACTACAAGAGTTACCTGAGAGAGGCTTTTTTCATCTTGGGTGTAAAAAGATGATGGGATTTCCAGTGCTAAAATTAAAGTAACCTCTATAATTTCCACTAGGGGAACTCAGGTCATGTTATCCTCCAAGGTTACTGGCCTTTTAGAAACACCGGGAGAGAAGAAGTCTTGTTGGGGTCATGTAGCCATGTTAGCCTGTGACAGTTGTGTCTTAATCACAACTGTAAGTACAATAAATTACACTTTAAAATTGAGCATATTTCTTATCCTGCTGTGCTAATGGCTGCTGTTTCTTGAGCTTACTATTTTAGTAAGTTAGAAGCCTACGGAAGAGCCTTATAGAAGTATATAAAACCTGACTATTTCATTTTGTTTCTTCATGGTGTAAACCATACCTGCCTAGTGTGTCTACAAAGCAAGTTTTTGTTGAAGCTAAACAATCGTAGCTATTTAGGTCTTCCTTTTCTTTTCAGTGACTGACTGACAGTCACAACAGGCTTTTCTGTACCTACTCTACCGTGTACTATCTGTTATTGATATCTCAGGTTCCTCTGACTCTTTTTATTTTTTTTTCTTCCTTATAATGCTGTGCTTATTTAGTTGTAGAATGACATCTTGGTCCTGTTGCAGTCCTTGTTTTTATATATATATATATATATATATATATATATATAATACTGTGACCAGCAAGCATCCTTCTACTTACTGTCAGCCTTTTTGATTTGCTGTCAGTACAGTTGTGGTTTAAGGAATCAGACTGGCTTTCCTCACCTTGGTCATTGCTGTTTTATTTTGTGTCATGGTACATTTGTCTTCTGTTTGCTCACTCTTGCAGTTTTTACCTTGCTAATTTCGTAGATGACAACTGTGAATACTGCTTAGCTACTCTACTTCTGATAGATTGCTCCCTGTATTGCAGCTTCAGTCTCTGCCTCCATCTGACACCCTTTCTTGGAGACCCATTTGCATCTCAGCTCAGGCCCAGCATCAGGCAGCAGGTCTTGTTCAACTCCTCTCATCCTTTCCCTCCTGAGAGCTAGACTGTTGATAATCCTGCCAGGTCTTGGTCTTGAAATCTGGAACAATGTGTTTTTCCTTCCAGTGATCAGAATGTGGATCTGTAGCCTTCTACTTCATTTTATCTCCCTTTTGACCTGTGCCTTTTGTTTGGCTTTATTCTATCATGACCATTGTAAGAAACCGCTATTTGTTACCTGGGGCTCCTAACTGACCACCTGGGTCCTGAATTCTGGTCTTGGTCCCTTTCCCTGCCTGCCTAGGTGGGCACAGCGTGCTGTTCACCAGTTCCCTTCTGTGGAGAGCAGCCCCTTTAGGAGACCTGTGCTGTAGCCCTGAGCAGAGTTACTGTGGAGGCTGCACCTGTGGTTGTGCTGCGGGGGCACCCTCTTCTGTCCCCCTTCTCATGTTCTTTCATGTTATACCTAATTTAGATAACAAACTCTTTCCAGAGAGGGCCTGACGTTATATTTACATGTGGTGCTACGACCTGCAATAATGTATCCAATTAATATGTCTGGATGTTAAAGTTACTTAAGGGAAATTCACGAGGGATAAAAATGTGATGTCTTCACCGCCACTCTAGAAACAGAGTACTGAGGCTTGTCATGCTAAACAGGGAGCTTTCAAGGTTGGTTTATTATAAGGCCTAACAAATTTGACAGTTAGCCTGTATTGTAGGTCTTGCCTTTAAATAGATTTTCATGCTAGGATAATCTTTTGAATATATCATACTTGAAAATGTGATCCAGTTCACCTGTTTCTTTGCTCACGCCTTTCTTTCTTATGAAAGAGATTTGTGTTTAAATAGGGGCTTTCTCCCTCGCATCCCATCTGCTCTGTGTACTTGATCCTGAAGCTATGTCAGGGTTGAATCTGTGACATCACTGTCATCAGTGTTGCCGTGGAAATATCACAGCCACCACGCTCTGATCTCCCTGCATGAGTGAGCAGCAGGAGAGGCCGAGTCAGGAGAGAGGAAGACCTTACTGTGACCCGTGTATCTTGAAGCTTTTTCTGTTCAGGCTTCGCTGTAGCATGCATTCTCCTGAATTTTAATTTCCCTTTGCCAGTGTATAACTGTTGTAACAAATAAAAATTGAGGTAGCCCTCCTGGATGCATAACTATTAATCAGGTGATGGTTTTTATGAGGGTACTATATGCCTGCGTCAATGTGACATGATGAAAAAAATTTCAGTTAAAATTACTGATTTTTTGGAAAAGAAGTTTTAGATAACATTCCTCAAGAGCTATGCTATAATTAAGAAGTTATTTTTTTCAGACCTGACAGTGTCCTAGGGCTCTTCCAGCTATGAAGGATCATATGTACATGAAATGTGGCAGGGTTTATTTGTCTTCTGAAATTTCATCTTAAATCTTTCCACTACTGATTTACAATATTGTTTTCTATTTGATGTAGGCACTTGAGAGGTTTCATGTAGGTTAATATAAATTTATCGCTCTGTGCGTGGCACGTAACTCCTCAGTTAGCTCTAGGCTCAGTTGACTAGCATGGCACTAGTTATAGTTGGATCCAAATTTTGTTTTCCATTGGTTAGCTATTTTCTGTCATGCAAGGGTTGCTTGCTTACTTGAATAAGTAATTTCTTAATACTGTGTTGTTGATTGAGTGGATGGTGCTTTTGGGCTGCTCTCTCTTGTTCTTTTCTTTTTTAAACCGCAGAAGTGCACAATAATATTGTACTTGTAACCTTTCCTCGTTTGTGAGGCAGGAGAGAGAGAGAGGGGATACTTCTTAAATAAATATTCTTGTATTTGAGAACTGCATTGAACTCGTAGCATGCATTTTAACATTTTTGCTGTTGTTGATAACCTTTTTTCTTTGATTAAAAATCTTCTATTTATTAGAAGGGCTTAATGCTTACTGCTAGCACAAAACAGAATATGGTTCTCTTACAGATTGAGAATGTTGCCTACTGTATTTTAGTGTAAATGACACTTCCGATGTTAGACCACATCTCAGCTTTACCTTGTAAGTTGCATTTCAGCTGTATCTGATTAGGCAGTTGAAGCATTTATTCCGAAGAGGGGGAGAAAAGACTTCAGGAACATTGTATTGTAGCCAATGTCAAAACTTCCAATCCTCTGCAGCCTGATCAAAATTGTGAGCCTCGATTAATGTTGTGTGCTGAAACAGAGTGACTGATTAGTGTGGCAGGTTTTTCTTTGGAAAATTTATAGCATGGTTCTCACAGAGATTTGGAATGAATTAACTTCTGTTCACCATGGTTTGATAAGCAACTGGGAGATGGTGCTGAGCTATTGTAACTGCCCAGTGCTGCAGTCATAAATTTGGCTTGCAGTGTCGATAGCATCTTGTGCAAAAGGTTTGACGTTGCCTCCCAGGCACTTGCAAGTTATCGTTAATTCTCCCCTATGCTACTCCTTCGGGAACAACAAACAAAAGAAACAGCAAAAATGTTTGCCCATTTTTACATCAGCAGCTGGCCTGCGTTAGATTTTCTCTTACAGAGCCAAAGGACAACTTGGAAACAGGTATTATAGAAACTGTCATGTTATTTTAAAGTCCAGCATTGCTCTTTAGGGTAAAAAGGTACAAGTTCTTTGCTCTTTGGGCTGAATTGTAGTTCCTAGATATCAGGAATAATGTGCTCCTTGGTCTTCCTGAGTGTGTAACCTTATGTAAGACTTCCTGAATTAACCTTAAAGACCTTTCTGAATTAACATTATGTAAGAATTTCTGAATGTTTCTGAATTCTGATCACAGGACATGCCCAAAGTAATGATTCCAGTGTTATCTTCACGAATACTTGTGGTTTAACCCGGCTGGCAGCTAAACACCACACAGCCGTTTGCTCACCCTCCCCCCTCCCTCTCTGGGATGGGGGAGAGAAACGGAAAGTGAAGCCCGTGAGTTGAGATAAAGACAGTTTAATAAGACAGGAAAATAATAATAACAATAATAATAATAATAACAATGATGATAATAGTACTACTACTAATAGTGTGCACAAACAAGTGATGCACAATGCAATTGCTCACCACCCGCTGACCGATGCCCAGCCTAACCCCAAGCAGTCTGGCCCCCCTCCCCCCGGCTAGCCCACCCTATATATTGTTCAGCATGACCCCAGATGGTATGGAATACCCCTTTGGCTAGTTTGGGTCACCTGTCCTGGGTCTGTCCCCTCCCAGCTCTTGCTACACCCCCAGCCTGCCCATTGGCAGGACAGAGCAAGAAGCTGAGAGGTCCTTGGCTTAGTACATGTATAAGCACTGCTCTGCAACAATTAAAACATCGGGGTGTTATCAGCACTCTTCTCGTCCTAAGCCAAAACACAGCATTCTACCAGCTACTAGGAAGAAAATTAACTCTGTTCTAACTGAAACCAGGACAGTACTGTATATTTTCACTGTTAATACATGAATGTATGTATATGCATGCATACATCTGAAC